GGTGGACGTGTTTGCTGATTTTAAAAGGCAGAATTAGGGGAGTTATCGCAGAAAAATGAAATTTGGTGTGCTGCTTCAGAATATGTAAATTAAGAAAAATTTTAAGCTTTGGCAATATCGGTGCAAGGACATGACTACGTCCTATATATCTTTTTTCTCAAAATATACTAAAAACTATTAATAACTTATAAAGTAAAACTCTTTTACTACTTTGTCGCATTTGGTATTAAGAATTTTAGTTATTGAAAAAAATTTATAGATCTTTAAAAAACGATCATAAATAAATCTTTTTCTAAATTTCCTCAATAAATAAGATAACTTATTTCAAATGTAATTTTTAATATTGTCTTTTAAAATGTATGTATATCTACCTCAATTTCTTCAAATTCACAATTCACAATTGTAGACCTAAGTGATGATAATTCCGGATGTGACATTAATAACCAAAGGTTCCATTAAATCTCTCGTCGTTTTTCTTGTAATGGGAAAATCGCAGATTCCTTATACTTCTATGACTGGATTCTTTTTAAGCAAAAAACAAAAGCGACTTCAATTCTCATATGTATATCCTTTTCTTCATCTACATATTCACTTAGATGATGTGAGGTGCGATGACCTGATAAGACGTTATGTGATGTGATGTCAGGTAATGCGATGCAATGTGATGTGATATCGATAATAAAATCGTAAACAAATTCGATAAAAAATATCGAAAGAAAATTCGATAAGAATATCGATAACAAGATCGATAATACAATCGATAAAAAATATCTAAAACAAAATCGATAAAAATATCGATAACAAGATCGATAATACATTTGATAAAAAATATCGAAAACAAAATCGATAAAAATATCGATAACAAAAGCTATAAAAAATCGGTAGCAAAATCGATTAAAATATCGATAACAAAATCGACAAAAATATCGATAACTTAATCGATAAAAATGTCGATAAGTAAATCTATAAAATATCGATAAAAAAATTATCCATTACTATAAAAATCTCTAAAATCCCGAAATAGTTCCTAGGGTGAGTATCTGTGTCTCTATGCCAAATGTCCCGTATTTGGCGGGACGTCCCGTATTTTGCACTAAATTTGAAATATTCCGCCGGGACAAGATTTTTCCCTAGTTTTCGACAATTTCATTCATTCTTTCATTTTAACCTGTGAACTTCTACTCCCATGGTCATGCTTTAACGCGGGTATTGTAAGGAGGTCATTACCCAGCATTATAGCATGTAACTCTATAAAATAAGTATAGTTAGAAATTATAAATGAATAAAACTGGCTATTATATGGAAGAAAATGCGCAAAAAAATTCTAAAAATCAATGGTCATTTTTAGCGACTTGAAACTTGCACTCTATTATACTAAAATTGAATGCACTTTACATCAAAATAACAGAACGAGTAAAATTTTAAAGTATCTCGAAGCCCATTGCATTTTCACAATGTGGAACCATCTTATTTGGTTTCAGCGGAAAATTTTGCATAAGGCTGATGTATCGAATGCCGAGGTTATGAGAATTTTCGAAAATTTGTAAGATAATAAAATTAAGTAAATTTTGGCTATACACTAATCATACAAATAACAAGACGAGCAGTACAGCCACTTGAAGTTAAAGGTATGAGCTGTAGATTCTGTAAGTTTCATGTTTATATCTAGCGTAACCTGAATAATCCGATTTTTTAAATTTTCGCAACTTCAATCAAAGTTCTTTTTTTTTATAAGAAGTAAGCTGGTCGGGTCGACTCGTAGCTGTGTTTCGTGTCTATGATACGCATACTTTACTCCTGGGTAACATAAGCTCCTAGAGTCCCTTCAATATGCCGAATCATAAGCCATCATAATAAAGAAACATTTTACAGGCGGAAACGAGTTTTTATGAAAATTTTATTTTGTGTAAATTCTGCTCTTTGGAACGCTAAAGAAGGGCTCCTCAAAGTTACAGCAAAATCGATTTCATATGGAATAACGCTAAATTACTTCGTTGAAATGGTTCGTTGTTGGAATATTTCTTACGGTAAGCTTTCGTGACTGAGATGTTTTCAAAGAATGTTTAAAATTATTTGAAACTCTCTCTGAACTTCAATCGATAATGTATGTATGTACGTACATTAGGGTGCCACACCAAAAAGTTGCAGTTTTTCCACCGGAGTTATAAAATTTATTATATTTTAAGACTGTTGCTAAAATATTTTAGAAAAATTACAGATTTATGTACGTGAGGTAAACCGATTTGAAAATATTTGCAGCTATCATTAGTGGTTCCGTTGAAAAAACTTGTAATACTTTTTATACAGATTCTTTAAGCTTAAACTCTTCTATCTGTGGTGGATTTTTAGAAAAAAACTATTTTGAAACACTAATTTTATTTGTAAAAAACTAAATTTTTTAAAGTATTTTCACAATAGGTCCAGCTAACGTTAATCCGTTTCAGTAAGCTTTTGGCGGACATCTTAAAATATAATAAATTTTATATTTCTGATGCAAAAACAAAACCTTTTTTTTTTGTATGGAAAGCGATGCACCCTAATGTACATACATGCAACGTGCATACTTACATACATAACTTGTATATAAGTAACTTTTTTATGATGTATGTACTATACATACATACGTATGTAGGTGTATGGTTTACGTTCTCTATTCAGGTCAACAAAGAAAAATAGTCGATAAGGAGGTAATAACAGGCAGTAATATAAACAGTTAACAACAGCAATCTATTTCTGAACTGATTGGAAATAATCAAACAGTTTTTAATTTGTAGCAACATTAAGCAATGATAAAAATACGAGTGTTTAATGAAGAGTACATTTGTATTTATCGAGCTATTTTCCTTCAATTAGGTGGTTAAGAATGTACAGCTGTATAAAAATTCAATAAATAAATTTCTGCATTTTAAAAGCCCAACTGTAAGGTGTATGATAAAAATGGGTCAAACAAAAGTGCAGATCGTGCATTGTTCTTAAGAGTTATCATTTCTGCCATATAGCGATTGAAAATTTTAGTAGAAGCTGGGTTTCCATAATATGCAAATAATAAAATTTGTATGGAAACATTTTATTATTCAATTTAGGTAAAAAGGGTCTTGTTTTAATGTCGAAAGTAAATTTTGCTTTTTTAGTTATTATTTTTTAAATTACTTATGCAAATTTTTCGATAAATCAATTTAGAGCCCTTTTTTCACTTTAAATTCGGTTATATCTCCAAAAATATTTTAGTTTCTTATACGTTGGCTACAAACTCGAAGTCAGATGAAAATTTTACATAATAAATGATTGCCAAGTGTCACATCTGGAATTTCCTGTAAACTAGTGTAATTACTAATTAGATTAATAGTTTATAATTATAAGCTGTTCTGAGGATTTAAAACACCGATTATGTCGGGTATAACCGGGTAGTTGGTCCGGTTACGGTTCTCAAAAAAAAAAACCGTAACGTAAATACGCCATATCAAATAGTTTTTCGCATTTTCTGAACAACGTATTATTTTGAGTTGTGACTCTTTTGAAGACAGTGTGCGATATGAAAAACTGGCCCTTACTCTTTAAAATGCCGTTGAGTTTGTTCAAATATCTTTTTTTCGCCGGAACTGTTACAAATAAGCGCTATACGAACGAATTTATAATGGTACAAAAGTGCGCTGGGGTATAAAAAACTGCAAGGCAAATTCTTTCCTTATGAGGCACAGTTGACAGTTGCTGTTGTGAATTTCTTACATAGCATAAAAGGAAGGTTTCTTGTTATACTTAAGAAGGCCTCATACAGATGCGATACTATCGATGAATGTGGGAGTGCTCAAACAGATGCGGTATACGATGCGTTCAAAAATTGTATTGCAGCAAGCACAATTGATCGCACGATATGAATAACCTGTTAATTGTAGAGTTCTGAAATGGAATTCATAATTCAGCACGTCAATTGTTATCGCATTTTAGCCTATTTGAAGTATTCGAAATATAGAGATTGCTAAAAGAAAGATGAAGCACTGCAGTGTATCGCATCGCACCTGTTTGAGGGCCTTTGTTTTTTTATCGTTATCGCATCAAATACGATATCGTATCGCAACGGTAGTATCGCATCCAATTGATTAAAACACATACATATATTACAAAGTTTTTCCAACAACATATCAAACAACTATAAGGGATCCACATAGGTTTGTACATAAGTACATACACATACATATATACACGTATGTATATGCAAGTATATACAATTATTTACTCTCACTCATGGGACAATATTAAATTAGAGGGTATAAAACTCAATTATATCAAATATAAAACAAGGGTGTCTACAACTTTCGCTAGCATTCAGCCACACGACTTATATGAATTTGTAAGTACGTAGATATGTACATACATTAGACCGTACCAAAAAAAAAAAGTTGGCGGTATGCCCCTCATTCTAAAGAATTTTTATAAGCTGATTTCAAAAAAAAAATTATTTTGCCTGAACTTAGGGATCGTTTTTTTTCATTTTTCGTCATATCCTCGGAATTAAGAGTTCGATCTGTAAGCACAAAATTATAACTCACCAAAAATTAAATAAATTATTGCTAAGTATTTTGATTATTCCAGTAGAACTGTGTCACCGTGAGTGTGAAAGAGCTAAGTACAGCAAAAAATTTCGTTGCAACAATACTTTATGGCTGCATTTCTTTATTCATTCTGAACGTTTGGAATAAACTTTTTTGTTTACTTATTCTTTAGGATGTTCCTGATGATATGTTAACGTATATTTCAAACGTATTCTGTTTGTTCCGGCTGTGAAATGGGATTATCCGGAATGTATAAAGAAACGCAGCCTATATACTCAAGGATTTTACGCCAATTTTTTTTTTTTTTGCTTACAAGGTGGTTCGGTCTAATGTACATAAAAGGG